GAGAACAATCAACCAATGGAACAGCTTGCCCTTGGAAGTTGTGGGAGCACCATCACTTGAGACTTTCAAGAACAGATTGAACTGCCATTTGTCAGAAACAGTGCAGGGTCTCCTGCTTGGGTGGGGGTTGGACTAGATGATCTACAAGGTCCCTTCCAATTCTGATTATCTGTTATCTGTTATTCTGTTATCCTGACAACAAAATTGAAACCATTACAATGGAAATGCAAAAGATAAGTCAAGAAGACAATTTGACATACACACATACACACACACACATACATACATACAGTGTGTGTATACACATAAACACATATTTGCATTTTTATATTACATTGTTTTATTAGTTTTACTACTTTAATATAATTCTCAATAAAATTATTTAAAAAGTTACTATATTAGCTTATGCTCTGTCTGATGAAAGTTAGAAGCCACTTTTTATTAATGTCTTTGCTGCCATTTCTTTCCTATTTTTTTGTTTTTCTTTTTTGTGCAGCCTTTGAACTTTTTTTCTCTCTCTCTTGTTTGGGTTGTATTAGGTTTTACTCTGTTTATTAAAAACTTCAATAAAATTGCTATAAAAGAAAAAAGTCTCAAGTTTCAAAAGAATGTTAATAGATTGGAACACTGAACTGTATCCAACAAAATTCTATTCAATGGCAAGAAATGCAAGTTCTGCCATTAGATGGGAAGAACCAGATGCAAAGATACAAAATAGGTGGTATCTGACTCAGCAGTTGTATTTACGAGAAGGAAATGAGTGTCCTAGTAGACCATAGATTAAACAGGAGACAGCAGAATGCTGCAGCTGCCAAAAAACAAATGCAATAACACTGCATCGACCAAGGGGTAATGTCAAATCATAGGACGGTAATGTCAAATCACAGGAAGTCGTAGTTTCACTGTCTACTGCACTGGTCAGACTGCATCTGGAATATTATGCCAGTTTTAGTCATCACAATAAGATGCTGAAGGATTAGAAAATGTGCAGAAAAATACAAGGGGTTTAGAGTGTGTTTAGCCTAAAAAAGAGAAGATTAAGAGGAACATGACTGCAGTCTTCCATCCGAGTGAAGAGAAGGACCAGGGGAGACATGATAGTGGTCTTCCAATATTTGAGGGGCTGCCACAGAGAGGAAGGGGTCATTATTTTCTAAAGCACCCAAACACCAGACAAGGAATAATGGATGGAAACTGAACAAGGAGAGATTTAACCTGGAAATAAGGAGAAACTTTCTGACAGTGAAAACAATCAACCAATGGAACAGCTTGCCCTCGGAAGTTGTGGGAGCGCCATCACCTGAGACTTTCAAAAAGAGATTGGACTCCCATCTATCAGAAATGGTGTAGGGTCTCCTTCTTGGGCAGGGGGTTGGACTAGATCAGTGGTTCCCAAAGTGGGTGGTACCGCCCCCTGGGGGTGGGTGGGATGCCTTAGGGGGCAGTAAGAGGCAAGGGGGCCAGCAGGGGGCGCTAAAGGGTGGCAGGGAGGCGTTCGAGGTGCCGGCCCTGCAGGCTCACTGACTGCCAGCCACGCAGCCCATTGACTGTTTCATCACTCCGTAGCCGGCTCCATAGCCGAACCCGTGCGCAGTGAGCCTTGCCAAGCCTGGGGGGGGGGAAGAGGTGGGAGGTGGTGGAAAGAGGGCGCCTTAACTTGCAGGCTGCCCTCTCCAGTGGAAGCGGTGGATGCATGCCAGAAGGCCTGAAAGCAAAACCGTCCCAAGGCGCGCAGTGGAAGGGTGGGTGGTCTGGCATTAGGGCCCCCTTCGCTGGAGGAAAACAAGTGAGCGTGCAGCGCCCACCAGGCCTCCGCCTCTCCAGCCAGCCAGGCTTGCGGACAGGATGTGGGTGGGTGCAGCTGCGGCTCTCCAAGGCGCGTGGCTCGGTTCGGCTCTACGTGGCCATCCTGGACCTGGAACCTAGCCTCTGCAGCCTGGTTCTTGAGACCGAGCCCTGCACTTGCTTCCTTGCTTGCTTGCTTAGTTTCCAAGCGATCGTTCCCTCCGCCTCCGCTGGTCTGGGCTGCTTCCACATGCCTTCCTCCTCCCGGGTGGAGTATAAAGATAGGTGGAACGCTTCACTGAAGTTGGGAGTCTCTGAGCATGTGCAGAGTACCTCCCCTTGCTTGGCCTGATGGAAGTGGATCTTGGTTGAAGCAAAGAGGGTGAGGTCGGCTGCATCTCTGCCCGGGCAGGTTGGCATTGCAAAATTGGATGCCAAAGGGGGCTGGAGAAGGAGCAGAGGGGTAGCTGCAGGGGGATGCAGAAGGGGCAGAGGAGCAGCTGCAGGGGGCTGCAGAAGGGGCAGAGGGGCAGCTGCATTAAGGAACAGGAAGATCTTAGCCAAGGTTTATTCATTGACTAAGCCGGAATCAAACAGCATGCTAAACTCTAAACCAGAATGGCTGGGTTGATATATTCAGCCCGTGTTTCTCAACCTTGGCAACTTGTGTGGACTTCAATTCCCACTCTGGCTTTGCTCTACTTTCTCAAAGTGCCACTGCTTTCGTATTCTTTCTTTCAGTCTGTCCGTCCATACATACATACATACATACATACATACATACATACATACATACATACAAAAGGACTGCCTGTCTGTCTGCCTGCCTTTCTGTCTACCTACCTACCTACCTATCTATCTACCAAGATAGATCGATTGATCGATTGATCTATCTATCGATCCATCTATCTATCCATACATCCATCCAAAATGTCTGTCTGCCTGCCTTCCTGCCTACCTACCTGCCTGCCTACCTGTCTTTCTGTCTACCTACTTACCTACCTACCTACCAATATAGATCTACCTACCTACCTATCTACCAGTCTACTTACCTACCTACCTACCTACCTATCCATACATTCATCCCAAAGGTCTGCCTGCCTGCCTGCCTATCTACCTATCTATCTACCAATCTATCTACCTACCTTCCTACCTCTCTGTCTGTCTGTCTCTCTCTATCCATCCATCCATCCATGTTCGAAGCGCCAGCCCCACAGGCACATTGGGAAAGTAGAGCAAAGCCAGTCTGGGAGGGAGGGAGGGGGAAAGAGGGAGAGGGAGAGAGAGAGAGAGAGACCTGATGCATCAGATTGAAATGAGGCCTAGTTTAGACTGAGGCCCTTTTCCAGATTGAAACATCTTTGGCTTCTATTAAAGGTTTTGTGGACAAAACATGGTCAAGACTATCAGGAAGCTCTCACATTTTGTTGAGGCTTTAAACAGGATCCATTGGACCAGATCTCCATTCTAAAAATTACTTTTCCCCAATGTATTACAGTGCCAATTCTGAAGAAGGCAAAACCAAAATGTACTGGTAAATTACATGGAGAACACACACACACACACACACACACACACACACACACTCCCTTCTAACCCTGCTGGAGCAGGTGATTGGACTAGAATAGATATCTCATTATCTTTCTCCTCCCTCCCTCCCCCCTTCTTTATTTCTTTTTCTTTCGGTCCCTTCCTTCCATCCCCCTCTCTTTCTTTGTCCCTTTTTCTTTCTTTCCCTTTTCTCTTTCTTTTCTTCCTTCTCTCTCTCTCTCTTTTCTTTCTCTCTCTTTCCCTCTCTCAGGCTCACCCCATTGACTAGACTTGCTTGGGCAGGTCCCCCCAATGCAGTCGGCTCAATGAGGTGGACCTGTGGGGCCGGCACCTAGAACGCAGCAGTGTCGGCATGTTTGAAAAGTAGAGCAAAGCCAGAGGTTGGTAATTTTTGCTGCAAAGAATCACAAAAACTTCTGGGTTGTTCACAAGAAGGGACACACATGTCAATGCAATTCAGCAACATAAAATAAAGAGATACAAATAAAACAAATCAACAAGAATCGGCAAAGCATCTCTGATTAGATTTTATTCACTGCTAGAATCTAATCAGAGATACTTTGCCAATTCTAGTGCAATGACCTGCTCCAGCAGGGTTAGAAGGGAGTGTGTGTGTATGTGTGTGCATGGCTGTCAAAACTCCAAAAATGGGTCAAGTAGCTCTGGGGAGGCCAGTCATAAATTAGAACACTTGCTAAACAACCAGCCATTAAGTGAGGACCACTTGTATTTGGTTTGCCAGTCACCTGGCCACACCCACCCAGTCACATGACCACCAAATCACACCTACCCGGTCATGTGACCAGCAAGCCATGCTCAGCCAGCAAGCCACGCCATCAGTCACGTGACCAGCAAGCCATGCCCACCCAGTCACATGACCAGCAAGCCATGCCCTCAAATTAGGCCACACCCATAGAAATTTGAATCCCACCCCTGGGTGGGGGGCACCGAGGATGAGTTTGTAGCACCAGGGGGGCAGTGGACTGAAAAAGTTTGGGAACCACTGGACTAGATGATCTACAGGGTCCCTTCCAACTCTGATTATCTGTTATCTCTTATCTATTACTTGAAGACTATCACAACAAAAAGGATGTAGATTTATTTCTTTGACTAATGACAAGAACCAATGGTTCCATAGAAAGATCCAGATTTGAAATTCTTAACCATGACATCTATTAAGTAGCAGAACAGCAGGCTGTTCTACTACTTAATAGCTCTCATGGTCAAGATTGTCTTCTGGAGTCATGGGTATTTTGGAGATTTTTATTTATTTATTTATTTATTTATTTGATTTGCCAATTGTTTACAAGATAATAAGTATAAGTGTATACATAGTTGTGAATACATGAAATGGGTACATATAAGAAAAATAAAAGAAGAATAAGAGAAACAATAGGACAGGGATGGTAGGCACGTTGGTGCGCTTATGCACGCCCCCTACAGACCTTTAGGAAAGGGGTGAGGTCAATAGTAGACAGTCTAAGGTTAAAGTTTTTGGGGTTTGGGGAAGAAACTACAGAGTTGGGCAATTATTTGTCACAATTGTTTCTTTCTGTTAATTGTTCTCCAACCACCAGGAATTGTCTTTCAAATGCCAAATCCTCATTTCTTCAAACAAAGCCATTTTTGTTCCTTTTGTTTATTTGTATATACAAATTTTTCAGGAGAATATGGCAACCTGGTTCCTTATCCGAAGCTCAAACTACACAGTGGATGACAACATCTAAATAAATAGGTGTTTTTACTACATGCCTGATGCATTCATCATATATCAAGGTAAGGAATTATGGCATAAATGTGAATATATATTCTAGTACTTGAGGGTGCCAATGTAGTACAGAAACAAAACTTCATTATCTTACAGTATTTCTGAGCTAGAGTGCAACTGCTGTTCACAGTCTACAAATGGCTCAGTTTATTGGTGTAAAGAAAAGAAAGAAAAGGCCAAACATGACTAAACCTGTTTACTTTAAATCTCTCTGTCTATCTATCTAATAATAAGATTGGTTGTATTTGGGTTGGGCAGTAAGACAAAAAGAACTTTATATCAACACATAAAATAAAATACATCAAAGTGCTTACTTTAAGATGCACACACGTCTTATGAAAATGACAGGCCACAAAAAGTTGGGGGAGGTAAGGGAGGAACAAAATCTGGAGGTAAAGATAATATCCTTGTTCTGTCCTTAATCCTGTTTTTGCACTTTGTGGAAATAATGCAGGGCAAAGGGTGTGGATAGCAATAACCATTAATATTGCTAAATATTAACCACCATCAAAGCTTACGCCAAGCAGAGCACAGAAGAACTCAAAAAAGTAGGGCAAGATCAGAAGATGTGAAGAGACCTGGCCCATAGAAACTCCAAGAGTTGGGCACCACTGAATGGACATCATCATCATCATCATCATCATCATCATCATCGCTCAAAACAAGTAGATTGCCACTATTATACAGATCCAAAATAGGAAAATCATCTGCTTTTAAGCAAGGCCAGGATTCCTAGAGTTGCCATTGTAAAACCTACTCTTCTTTTGAAGACAGAAAAGATGCAATTGGAAAACTGGGGCAAGTTTGTCAAACTGCTGCCAGGTTCTTACTTCAGAAGTCAAGTAAATGTTCCCTCTCTAGCACAGGGGTGTGAAACTCGGTTTCATTTAGGGATGCATCAGGGTTGTGTTTGATCTTGGGGGGCTGGGGTGGGTGTGGCCTGGGTGGCCTTGGCCAGGGGTAGGTGTGGCCAGCTTGACATCACTCATGACAGGAACTCTTGTGGTGTGATGACTCGTAGTCTCTCAAAATAACCCCAAACCCAAAACATATATTAAAGTCCGGTAAAGCCTTCAACTTAACTTCACTGTTTTATTAGGCACATTTTAAAGTCACAAAAGTAAATAATGAGGCAAACAGAAAACCAAAACAAACCGCATTGATGAGAGTTCCGAAGCAAGCCAAGATAACTAATTATAAACTCCAGGAAAATAACCGAGAAAAGTCCATGGGAAGAACTCCAGCAAAGATAAACCTCTTTCAAGGTAAACACTAATTGACTTCAGCAATTCTAACTGCGCAGTTGCAAACTTATATACATAGCTCCCACCTGCAAGCCACGAGGAGGATCATGGTAATCTCTTCTTGAGTAGACCTCGCTTTTCCCTGATCCTCTCCTCTCTGCGTGACCTAGGTTGGATAGGGGATGGGCCTGGATCCTCCTCTGACTGCTCAGCCGGCCTCTGCCCTTCCCCAGCCTCCTCCACCATCTCTGGAGCCACACTCCCACTCCTTGTTGGCTGTTCCTCCTCTTCCTCAGAGTCAGACTCCACAGGGGCATGACATGTGGTGGCCCTAGCACTCTGCCAGTGAAAATGGGCTCCCTATCTCCATTTTCGGCTGCGATAGCTCCCCGCAACACTCTGCCATTGAAAACAAAGCTTGGGAGGGCCACCTGCAGCCCTCATGAGCTCCGTTTTCAGCTGTGATGGCCTCCTGTAACCCTCTGCCAATGAAAATGGAGCTTGCGAGTGCTGCTGCACGCGGCCTTCCCTAGCTCTATTTTTGCTGGGAGAGGCACTGCAGGCCAGTCCTTTGCTGTTTCCAGGGTGGCCCCATGGGCCAGACCAAAGCACACTCCATGGGCCAGATCTGGGTCCCGGGCCTTGAGTTTGACACCCCTGCTCTAGCATCAAAAGCAAGATGAATAAACCTGAACATACAGAACATTGCTGTACTTCTTCATCGTGCATTACTCTCTGAATGATCACAGAATCATAGGGTTGGAAGAGACACTGGAGGTCCTCTAATCAAAACCCAAGAGAAGAGTCTTCATACCATCTTAGACAAAGGCTTTTTCAATCTTTTCCTTAAAACTTCTAGTGATGGAGCATCCACAACTGGGGGAAACAAATTGTTCCACTGCTTAATATTTCTCACTGCCAGTTGTCACCAGTACAGTACAGAGCCTTTGATCTTGATGCAACTTAGGACTCTGTGCCTTTTTTTTTTTTTTTTTTTGACGATTGCAGCACACTGCTGACTCTAATATTTCCAATGTTGTAACATTGACTTGTATCATTTTGTAAGTCTCGGTATTAATTGACATCAAGAACAGGCTTGTATTTTTTTTTTCTTCTGCTGCTTAGAATCTTTAGGCCCTTTTGGTGTCCAGTCTTTAAAATCATCACTTTTCTTTGTTATGATTTATAGCAGCCAGGATAGTCAAAATAAGTGTGTTTCCCATAAGAAACAGTTTATTTTTTATAGTTAATTCCAAAATATTATACTAAAAAAACACTCCAAATTTATCTGGACTCTGTTCATAACATCATTAGGTCAAAAGATTATTTAACTTTTTGTTGTTTATTTCAAATTCTTGGAGTTCTTATACTTACATTTTTTGTTGTTGCTGTTCAGAGTTGAAGATAACTTATGTTCAAACTTGTTTGTTCTGAAGTTCTCTGAAAGGTTTGAGACGATTAATAGGCAATTTTAGAAAGTGATTAGACTGTGAAGTTTGATTTATATCTGAATTTTAATTGTAACAGTGTTATTGGGCATTTCAAGTTCTAGTTAGTTTCTATTTTTAAAAAATGATATAAACTGCTTTAATCATTAAACTGCAGAAAAATAAAATAAAGTAAACATAAATAAACATAAACAAAGGTAAATTGAATTTGTAGTATATCACAAATATATGTGGTAAAACAAGTGACAAGGTCAAAAATGAACAGTGATGAATGAGTATGGATTGGATACAAGTGACAAGAATTGAAGATTTGAGCAAATTACAAAAAAAAATAAGAGTGAATGGATCAGGAGGGAAACTGAGAACTTATCTGGTGAGTGATACTGACCCTCAGATAGAGAATGTTTTAAAACAACAGGCAGTTTATGGTGTGGGATATAGATGTGGTGGAAGAAAGGATGTTTTGCAAGAACAAAAAGTATACCATGTTTGTATAAATTAGATTTGATTACATTTCTTTTTCCATTTTCCTACCTCTTTCCTTAGCTTCCTTGGCCTATTTTTTTCTTGATTCTTTTCTGCATTTTGCTGAACATTACTTCTTCTGAAAGGGAACAGCCTGATGAGATGAAAAACTAATTCATAGGGAGCACCTGAAAAGTGTGTTGAATTAAATAAAATTCAGTTTGTTCTTGCCAATATGCTTCTATTTTGACCTTGCTTACTTCTGCCATTTTGGACCCAGCTTGAAAAAAAAAAAACACATTATGCATCTGTGCAGTAGGGCACAATTATTTCCTTAGCCACCATTTGTTGAAAAATCCATAACTTAACATATGTATTCCAGAATGCTAAAACCAAATTCATTTAAGCTCCAAATGGATACACACACACACACACACACACACACACACACACACAGTTAATAGTGGGACTACTGAACAATTGAAGATAAAGCCATGTCAAGCTGATAACTAACTGAAGCTTGTTTGAGGATAAGCCTCATCTACCATTATAGATATTTTAGGATCCATCTTCATGTGTATAATTTAGTGGCAGATGATTGAAAATTGTCAGATCAGATTTCCAAAGGACTACTTCCAAATTATTGTTGAAATATACGCAGCCCTAAGTGTTATTGTTTAGCAAAGTTTTGAGAGTGCATGGTATGTTTTCAAGAATGGAGGCATCTGACATAGCATATCCAATGTCTTATTAGCCACAGTTTCTTTTTGAATCAAACCATTATTGTGTCACGAGAATGTCTGATCATTATTTCTAGAGTTGTTCTGAAACCAATTTGACATTTCATGGATCTTTTCAAAGGACCCAGCTTTTATTCCCTTGCAATTCGATATAAAGAATTTCTAGTCTTAATTTGTTCATAAATGAGCAGTGAACAAAATGAAATGAAATTAGATTGGGAAATTGCAAAATTCTGCCTACTTTCATAATATTGGGTCATAGCTATATACTATCAGAACTGAGCAAGACAAGGGACTAATGAATAAATGCTGATTAGGAAGTTAGTGGAATTTAAAATATTCGGGGAAACAAATTTTTAATTTCTTAAATAATTCCCACAGCTTGGAAAATATTTCTTAGTATCAAATCTAGACCTGTGTTTGCTCTTAGTTGAATATATGACTCCACGATTACTTCCCTGTGGATGTGCTAAGAACAGATAGCTTTTTAATCCTTCATAATTATTTTTGCTTGCTCAAAATATTTCTCTTTTATTATATTGCTTTGCTGTTTTGTGAAAGAAGATAATACTAATTGTCAATAGTAATTGTGCATTAAAAAGGGGCCAATTAATAGACAAGTCAAGGCAGTCTACTTGCTTCTTCCATCTTCCAACCTGATCAGCTGATTTTACAGGAGGTAGTTGGAAAAGCAGTATTGGAAGAACACTGAGAGAACCTATAAATCAAATCAAAGGTGGTGGTAACATAAGAAGCAGCTTAAAGAAAGAAAAATCAGAATTATTTGATGGGGGGAATCTTAAGGGGGTGGAATTGAGATCTCACAATCCTAACTTAGGTGGATGCCCTTGGATTGGTTTCTTTTTCTTTCTCTTTCTCAACCCAACCTATACCTCAAGACTGTTCTTATAAGAATAACATGGGAATTTGTAATTTTACTTGCCACATCAAGTTCTCCAGGACTCGGATGCAAATTTAACAATAAATAAGGTAAAATAAGCATGAACTCCATTCTTGCACATTTTAAATGCATTAAAGTCAAAGAATGGCTAAGTCCTTGAAAAAAATTAAAGGAGGGTAAACAACCTGTTGCATTATTTTGCTTCCAGAGCATAATGAAATATGTTGAAAGATATAAATGGCTTGGCTTGATCCCTAAGGACTGCTTTCTCTTAAGCCTACCTGTTCATTCCCTAAAATCAGAGAGAAAACAGCTTTCCACATGTGAGTAGGCAGGCACCCATCTTAGCCTGTTGTACATCCCATGCAGTTCTTCACTCAATCAGAAAAATGATTTCTCATACTGGCCCGACGAACTTCAGAATTTAATCAGTTCATTTGCTGTTGTAAAAGAGGCACAGCGAAGGCTGTGTATTTCTTCTGTATTTCTTCTGAAACTATAGGGTAGGCAGGTCCCCACTAGTGAGAATTCATCTGATTATGTTTTCCTTGCTAGACTTTTATCTCCTTTGCTTAGTTCCCCTGGATACTTTGCCACTGAGCATTGAACTTAGGAATTACACAAATCAATTTCATTGCAAAACAGTTGTGCTGACCTTGACAGTTGGTTCTGCGCAAAATGAGAGTATGCCACAATCTCTAGCTCTAACTTTGATGATGTTCAACAGGTGTTCGACTATGCCAGTTGCAAGCAAGGGCCATAAAGTTGCACACTTTTCTGATGATCTCTCTGCCCACCCCTTAGTAATGATGCAGTTATATAAGTTTACTCTGCTCTACACACACACACACACACACACACACACCACTACTGTGTGAAGTTTTTGGATCTTTGCCCCTAACCCCTGACCAGGCAGTAGCTTTGCTTATTAGGATAAAGAGGATTACAAGGCTATGTTTGTGCACTTGCATAGGTATCATCCCACCTCAGTAGAATTGCATATAGGAAGAATTATTTGCTAAATCCACAATTATTTCAAGGAATGTGCAAATTT